GCCCATTTGCAGAAGAATCTGCAGAACCATAACGTGAAGTACACCTCGTCGACTCCATGTTGTCCTTGGCATTGGAGACTTGCTTCTCACCATACAGTTCCTGATAAGGCTGTTTTTTTTTTGTTTTTACATCGTTATCTTTCATTCCCATAGGTACTATGGGAAAAAGGCAGATACCGCGATCGGTCTGTCCCTTTTACAAATATTCAGTCTTTCTGGATGCATCCAAGAGAGCGGATAACTGGACTCAGTGCGCATGCGCAGCTTTCCGTCTGGGTAGGGGTGCCCGCCTACGACTGAAACATCCATTTCCCCTCCAGTCCTCGCGGATGACGGATCCATAGTAAACAATAGAAGAGAGAGCAGCTGCTCGCTGAGCTGACAGGGTTGCTGAGTGTACGCGCGAAATGTCGTATCTGGCATCTAACACTTGATGCTCTCCGTCTCCACGCGACACGAACCATCGAGAATATGTCTTGCCGTCCGGGCCTTTTCATGTAAAGCCTATGACGTTCCAATTACAGCTATCATTTATTTCAAGTTTGAAAGAAGGGTCATTTTGAGTCGAGTGAAGCAGCCCATGGCCAATCGAGCTAAAATAAAAGCAACGTCCGGGCCTTTTCATGTAAAGCCTATGACGTTCCAATTACAGCTATCATTTATTTCAAGTTTGAAAGAAGGGTCATTTTGAGTCGAGTGAAGCAGCCCATGGCCAATCGAGCTAAAATAAAAGCACAGGAACTTGCAGTGGCTACGCAGGTCGAAATATTTTCGTGACGGCGTCAAGGCTGTTCGATCGGTTGTACTGGTCCCTGCGCCTCAACATGGCTCCTGTACTTCCACGTGAGCATGTTTTCAACCGTTCGCTGTTCCCTCAAGAAAGGGCGAGCGAAACTCATCACCGTTCTTGTTCGCAAAGCGTTAATTTCAACGGATTTCCTTTGACTCGCGACGAGTTTTAAATATTTTACTTGTGCTCCTTCGGTCAAACCAGCACGGAGGAAATTCTGATGATAACATTTACACTAGAAACTAAATTATCTACTGTACGAATATATGCGTTCCTATCGGATCAGACACAGCTGTTGGTTCGACCGATTTTTCGGAAATAAACATTCCAACAGCGGAATATTTATTCTTTCGATTCCACTCGACATTTTTCAAATTTCCGGTTATTTTCCCATGATTGGAAAATGTGATTCCTGTAAAAACTTGCTTACTTCAATTTGAGCGAGCTGGCGACTGCGACAGCACGACCTGGGCGCGACCCCAACCATTAGCCCCGCACGGGACGCTTTCTTAGAAGCGTCCTAAGACTTTAATTAAAATTATTAATGTTGCTACAGTTGTATGCAACACGAGATATATTATAGCGACAGCACGACCTGGGCGCGACCCCAACCATTAGCCCCGCACGGGACGCTTTCTTAGAAGCGTCCTAAGACTTTAATTAAAATTATTAATGTTGCTACAGTTGTATGCAACACGAGATATATTATATTGAAGAGGGCGAAATATGGTCTGCATGGTTTGCAACGATGTGCGATGAATACAGAAAATAGTGACCGTTTCAACTTTAAAAAGACCACATTATTTATTATAAATATTTGTCTATAGCAACACGCAATTCGCCACAGACATTTCCCGCATGAAATCTTTCCAGATGGGAAGTCCAGGGCAAGAGTTGCGGAACATTCTGGCCGAGACCAGGGCCTTGAGAGAGAGCGTGGATGTGGATGCTTTCAGACTTCAGCTCGCCGCCTTCGAGGCCTGCGTGGAAGAGGCTTTGGACCCGCTGTCTTCGCATCCGAATCCACCTTCCTTCACCCATCGTTCGACGTACACCCCGAGTTTTCTCCAGGCCTGGCTCACCAACAAGAAGAACGAAATCGCAGATCACGCAGCATTTTTGAAGAAATACCGCTGTCTTCGCATCCGAATCCACCTTCCTTCACCCATCGTTCGACGTACACCCCGAGTTTTCTCCAGGCCTGGCTCACCAACAAGAAGAACGAAATCGCAGATCACGCAGCATTTTTGAAGAAATTTTCTGACGCGAAAGTGGAAATCCGTGACTTCCCATCCCCGCTGCAAGTGAACGAAACCGCGCCGTTCTTCCTTTTTCTGTATAAAGCCATCGACCCAAGTGATCCCATTCTGGAATCCTCGACGATTCGACCCCCCGCAGAGACCTCCACAGCGTCCTCCATCTCCCAGAACCGATTCCAGATCCTCTCCGCTTACCAGCACCTATTCCTCCACTACCGCCGAGCCCAGCGACATCCCGAAATGAAGTTCCTGGCAGGCGAGACCCCCGACCCCCTTGGAGATCCTTGCACGATGCTCTTGAGCGAAGGCGACGGCCTTGCCCCTCGCGTCTTCATCCCTCCGGGCATGCCTCTGGACGTCGCCGTTCAGACAGACGGAGCAGCCGCTCGAGTGCATTGGGAAGCACCGGCCATCGGATCGGTCTCCGTCAGCGAATTCCGTGTCGGATTCAGAGCCGACAGAAACCCACCCGAGGCTTGGAAATACGTATCGGTGACGTCATCACCGGCCTGGGTCGACGGACTCGTCCCAGGAGAAAGGTACATTTTTAAGGTCAGTGTTTCAAGTCGAAGGCATTCATGGAATTCTGATCGATTTCTGATGCTGGCTGAATTTTGTCGCGTAGGTGAATGCCTGCAGCCGCCTCGGCCACGGCCCTTCCGGCCGGGCGGTCTCTTTCAGCTTTGACTCGAATCGGAGTTGCGATCGTCCGGCTGCATTTTCCTCTGCACCGATTTTTCCGTCCGAAAGTACTTTTAAAGACCAGAAGCCAGTTCTCGAGCGTGGTGCATCTTTTGAGAGAAGACCCGCGAGGCACCTGATGCGAACGGGGATTTGCACGAGACAAGGTAAGCCTTCCCTCTACGAAATTCGTTGCGAGGAAATCAGCCGAGACGAAGGCAGTCGAACTGCGAGATTGGTCCTGCCGTTCGACTCCATCGAAAGTGAGAAAGACGAAAAAGTGATCCTCCTTCTCGGTGCGACTGGAACAGGTGCGACCCCCAAAATGTGGCAAAATTGGCAAAAATTTGCAAGAACTTGTCATTCGGATGACTTCCTTCTCGATTTGCAGGGAAGAGCACTCTGGTGAACGCCGTCGTGAATCACTTCTACGGCGTGGAATACGAAGACCCGTTCCGTTTGGTTTTGATCCCGGAAACGGAAGGCGTGAGGGCGTCGCAGTCCCAGACGACTTGGGTCACGGCGTACGAGTTGCCGTGGCAAGAGGGATGTCGCGCGCCGTACGGTCTCACGATCGTGGACACCCCCGGGTTCGGGGACACGAAGGGATTGACGGGGGACAAGGGCATCACGACCCAGTTGCAAAAATTCTTCGGCGGGGGAGGGCTGAAGCGGGTCGACGGGATCGGGTTCGTGGTGCAGGCGTCGAGTGCGAGGCTGACCCCGACGGAGAAATACATCTTCGACTCCGTTCTTTCGGCGTTCGGGAAGGACGTCGCCGGGAACATTTACGTGATGGTCACGTTCGCCGACAATCGCTCGCAGCCCGTCCTCGAGGCCATCAAGGACGGGAAGATCCCTCACGTGGACTCCTTCCCCTTCAACAACTCCGCCCTGTACGCCCGCAACGACGAATCCTCGGACAGCCGCATCGACTCCATGTTCTGGAGGCTGGGCGCGGCCGCCTTCTCCCGATTCTTCGAGAGGTTCCGCGAATCCACGGCGGTGAGTCTCAGTCTGAGTGCGGAGGTCTTGAAGGAGAGAGCGGCGCTCGAGGCGATCATTCGCGGCATCCAGGATCAAATTCAAGGCGGTGAGTGCATTCCAGTCATCATTATAGCATTATTTCAAAAATGTTTAATAATTAATCAAATTTAAAGAATATTTCAAAATTATTTCAAAATTATTTCAATATCACGTTCAGCCTCGTTTAACGCAGTCATCATTTGCGAATTGTTCTTTTCCAGTCCGATGCCCCTAAAAACCTTGCTATTTATGAATAATGTTCATGCAATATTCTCGAACCTTTTCACTATTTTACCCAGTATTATGATGCCTGTTAATCATTGCGGAGTGGAGCTCACCTTCAAGGAAAGATTCGACTTGATATATTGTTCTACCTCGGTAGACGTTTATGGGTACCTTTGAATGTTTACCTCCGCAATTCATGCAACGCAAACCGAGTTGATCTGGATGATATTTTCTCGAGTCTGAGAAGCTGTAGAGAACGTACCATGTTCTTTGGTACATGCAGCCTTGAAAATTTCACTCAGGTCGACATATTTTTTGTCTGTGTGTAGTCCTGAACATACTGGCTGAGATCAGCGAGGAAAAGGCCGTTCTGGAGAGAAGACGAGCAGAAGTGGAAGCGAAGAAAGACTTCACTTACGAGGTGCAAGCGCCGAAGGTGAGGAAGATGGACCTGAAGGGCGACCTGGCGACCAATTGCTCGAAGTGCAACATCACGTGCCATTTCCCGTGCAAGCAGCGACGCGGCGACGTGGAATTGCAGTGCGAGGTCCTGGACCCGTTCACGGGTCGTTGCATGGTGTGCCCTTGCGACTCGAAGCGGCACGTCAGCAGGCCGTATCGCTTGGAGACCTACGTCGAGAAGGAAAGCAGGAACCTGAAGGACTTGCGAGCATCGCACCGAGACGCAGGAACGGCCGAGGACTTGTTGGGGGCCTTGAGGAAGAGACACTCGGAGAGCCGGTCCAGGGTCCTTCACCTCCTCGCAAGGGCACACGAGAAGCTCCAGAGACTGGAGGAAATCGCCTTGAAGCCCAACCCCATCACGATCACCGACTACGTGAAACTGCTGATTTCGTCCGAGAAGCACGAGGGGAAGCCCGGCTGGATGGAGCGAGCCAAAATTCTCCAGGAAATCGGGGAACGCATCGCAAACGAAAAGACGGCCGACGAACGAGGAAGCGTTCCCTTCGAGGAACCGAATAAAAATCGAACCGAACTGAAGCCTCGTGGCGCTCATGCGCCCGGGGAAAATCTTGTGACACCCAACCACAAGAATGGAGAAAATGCAAAAACGGAGGAACAAATGAGGAATCTTCAGCATCAGGTAATTATTAAGTATTACTTTTTAAGCCACAGCTTGACAAATTCCAAAGGATTTTTTAAAACTCGTCTGCAATGTTTACGTAAGTGCCCATTCTAAATTACGTACATTACGACTTGGTACTAAACAGTAACTCTTTGACATTTTAAAAAGTTAAAACCGATCAAATTCCACAGGAACTATGTACTTAAGAGGCACTTCCATTAAAACCTCGAATGGGTGCCGATTCCCGGAGTTATTTCCTCCCAACTTGCTTCACTTGCAGATTGACCTGACGTGACGATTAATAGCGAACTTTCGAAAAATAAGTATTTCAACCCAACTGTGTTTCAACAACGGCGAATGCTTTTTCATTATCACAAGAGCCAATTTTTTTTTTCCTGGAGACATCTCAGGTGAGCTGGGAAGAGTTAAAAAAAATGGCATTCCTATTTTCTCTCTCTAATANGCTTCTCAGCACATGAGATATTTAGGGTGCATTCAGAGTATTCCTTTTCAGAAGCAATATTCTGTATATGTCTCTAAAGGCTATTCCAAAGGTGAAGACAACTCCATCGGTCTTGGTCGCGGACAAGCTCCTCGCGAATGTCCCCATCAGCCATCCATCAATGTTCAAAGAGCAGTACGTTCTCTATCGCGTGGACCTAGGGGTGGCGGCGTCTGTCCAAGATGCATGCGCTGTGGAGGTCATGCTCACCGGGACGTCGGCGGAAAGTAAGTTTTTTTTTCATTTCAGGATTCTGGCTTTAGATTTTGTTCCTGGAGGATTAATGGTATCACGTGATAGCGTTTGGCTTCGAACATTTCTTCTTATCATCGAAATGAAAAAAAATGAAATTTGCTAATTAATAAGTGAGCAACACTCGCTCCTTCGCCGCTCGAAGGATCTCTTAAGGCTTATAGTGCATCGTCAACTTAAGTAAATTCGTAATATAAATTAATGGAATTATTCATTTTGATACCACGTACGGTTATGTCGGTTATATTGAAAGTACTTTTGTTTAGCGACACGAATTTAATTTTCCCTCAACGACTCCCGTACTGATGAATAACTTTCTACTTCAAAATAAATGGATTTCAGGAAATTCTCATTGTAATGCGACTTCCAGCGTAAGGAGCAATTGGTATGCACCTCAACCGCTATGAACGATCCTACCAGATGCTTCACATATGAAGCAGAAGCTACGGGGGAAATTTTCCCCCTTAGGTTTCACCGGAACAAATTTTTCCTAAGTACAATCTCCTACGGATAGCAGCAAACGATTTCAAGTTTTTCTGGGGGGGGGGGGGCAGGATTCTTATCATTAATATTATTTGTATGATGATATAATCTACCCTCTGGAAGCTCCCTCTCCGAATTTTTCCGAGTAAACCTTACTTATTTTAGAGCATCTGTGAAGACCACTATTGTGAGAAAAAGTCCAGAAAATCCTCTTCTAATCTTCCTTCATAACAATCAATCATCGCCATGGACCACAGTTCCATATATGCCGAAAATGAAATTTCATGGCAAATAGTGAAGCATAAGAATATCCATTTCTCTCGCCAAACAGGTATTGGAGATTTCTTAACTGGTTTCCTGAACATCATATTGGGGGTGGAGTGGTCGACCCCACATCGGTATCGCCTTCAGAATGAACTTCGTCCCGAGAGTCATGTCTCGGTTCTTGAAATTCCGTTTTCCAGCGAAAATAGAACCATTCTGCGAATTATCGTCATTCCTCCCGGCGCGCAGGCGATCGAGACGAAAGCGCTCTTTTCAGTCGGCGATCACCCGTCTGCCGTCTGGATTGCAACATCCGGCACCAAGAAGGAAGTGATGCCGGATCTCTTGCACGACAAGATACGTCAGCACGTGAGCAGGACACCCACCACCATCCGCGGACTGATCACGCGGTCTGACGGTGCCATGCCTCCTTACTTCAAGGAGCTGGGGATCAGATGCGAAGAACTCTATTATTTCAATTCCTCCATGCTTCCCGACTCCATGGAGGATTCCGTTACGATGAGGCCAGCGCAGGAGTTCGGGCGAAAGATGTGGGAGGCCAATGAATCCAGCTATAAACAACTTTTGCGAACTCTTTCCCTTTAAAGTGATATCTCTGGGTGTAAGTGGTTATTCCTAAAGTATTGTATCCAGATTGATATTGCTTACCTTTTTTCATTTAAAAAGTTTTTCAGAGAGTTTTAAGGATTTATGATTGTAGACTGACTCTTTATCACGATTGGCCTGCTGCATCAGATCCTCATGATCATATCAGCGATATGTATTTTTCTACATGCGTTTCTTACCTTCCATCAGTCCCAAATAAGAAATTGTCAAATTGGTAAATTTGCAGATTGCTAGCGCTTCCATGAAGCAGATGTAGGAGACTGAATATGCCACAGGAGAGAGTCTCGCAATAAATAGGTATGAATAAATAATTGGTGAAGTCATTAGAGAATAGAGAACGTGTTGAGCACTGAATTTCTCAGTAAAAAAATTGTTCAATGATACCAATCAGATATAGCCTTCCAGAAAAGGAAATTTTACATTGCTACTGGTGCTGGTCTTCCGGATTCAAGGTTCCCAGTCAGTTGGCACGTGTCATTTCTCCACTTGGTCGGATTGGGATTGTCAACCCATCCACTTCCTACGCATCGACAATAAAAGTTACATGAAATGCTTCAATCGGTATATTTCCTGGAGTTGTTTCAATCTTAAGCTTGTCATCGTTGCCCCATAAAAAAAGAAATCTGTTGCACTTCCAATCTACTGGAAGTTACCATGTAAGGTCGTAGCAACTGTTGCCAATGAATTTTATAATACTCCTTTTCTGCATTTCACCAAATTTATATTTTCAATACCAAGAGTTTCATGCAAAACCAACAATTTTTGTATTCCGAAATTGATCCAGTTCATCGAACTTCAGGGATTCGGTTCCACTTTGGTCAACCTCGATTTTCTATCGAGTATGGAATAAGAAATCATGGTCATTGTCCTTAATAAAAATTGAGAACTCGCAACGAAAATCAAAGTGATTTATTTTAATTTTAATTTGTATAATGTTGGAGGATCGAAAGTAAGAAATTTCGAGTCCCATGCGAGCATGAGCCCCAGAGAACGCTTCTCCCCGTTGACCGTCATGGAGTTTGCATGTCTAGGAAGGGATCGTACTTCCTATGAGAACATTAGATCCTTTTCCTTGATGATTTCCTGAGTGTAGACTCAGTCTGTCGTCGAAAACGACAGTTGGATACATTTTGCACGTATTCGTTACGTCCATATCCGTATTCACATTCTTCAAAAAGAAATTATATTTGACGTTATGTCATTGTTGTCGGATATCTCGCTCCCTTTTTTCCCCCAGTATAATGTACCCTGCTTTCCTGCAATTCCATTTCCACAAACCCCCATCCTTCTATTAATTGAAGTTCTGGTGTACCTAGAGCATTTGACGCATATTCCCAAAATGGATGCAGAGAAACAAGGGGACGGGGCTCTGGAAACCCCCGAAACAGCAGACCTGCTCCACTTGGGCCGAAGCTCACCGAGAACAATGCCCGGTGACCCTTCTCATGGGTCGGATCCCCTTTCTCCAGTCCACAACCCTCAGGCGCAGACGATGGCAGACCCGGGCCAGCAGCGTCAAGCTTACTTCACCCCGATCCAACCCCAACACGGAGGAAGATTCCACCAGAACAACTCGCAGCCCGTCATGTTCCCGCCCCACGGATTGGCTCCGACCATGCCTTATAACCCGACGCCCATTCGGTACCAAGCCCCTTCCGTCGGGTCGGTCCCTCCAGGCGCGTTTCAGGGGCAGCACGTTTCATCGCAGGCGGATGGGACTTCCCACCCGTATTCCGACCCTTACAACCCCACCGCGTAAGTCGTCCGTAAGTCTCTCACTAGCGAAAGCTGTACCAAATTAGAAGGCTGAATTCGCTATTTTCCCAGGATGAGTCGGATGCCTCCAGGAGCCATGGGCCACCCGTATCAGTCGGCCGTCCCTCCTCAAGTAAGTCGGGAATCAACACTTCACGTATCAGTAGCCTTTGCATGTTTCTTAGTTTTCGCTTGAAAAACGATCGAGGATCAATTTTTAAAATTTTTTTTGAAATGATCCTATTCTGAATTCACTCACATGTTACGGTTGGGAAGAGAAAAAAGATCCAATTGCATTTGGGGCCAACTGATGAGACCCGTCCAAAGGTCACCGTTGGGCGGTGGCCTTATTCCAGTATAGATGTACTGCTTTTCCGTGAGGTATTGTCCAATGCAGCTAAATCTTGACGATACCACCTTTTGTATTTTTCTATTTAGATGGGCTACCCAGGTGTACAGGCGAGCAGAGCTCTTAGCGACAGGGAAACGGACCGCCTGAAGAAGCGTCTTCTGGAAGCCATCGCGGACACCGAAGACTTGGCGCAAGACTTGGATACGCTGTCGCACGCGCTTAAGACCCCGGCGGACTCCATTCGCAATGTGATCACTGATGATGATCGGTTCCAGCTTTCGCAGAACAAGTTATCGTTGCAGATAAATTTGTCTATTTGCAACGACCACTTGACGGATGACGGCTGCGAGAACGATTCCTGCCGATCCTTGCACATCTGCTCCAAATTCTTAGCGAAACTTTGCACGGACCCAAATTGCGAAGACGGTCACGATCTGGACTCGTCGCACAACAAACGTGTTCTCAGCCAACAAAAACTGGATAAAATCAATCCCGATCTGCTGAGGAAGCTGCTGAATCCAGGCTCGGTACTCCCCGACCTCTGCGAAGATTACAACGTCGACTTTTGCAGCCAGGGGAATAAATGCCGCAAGATGCACATCTGTGCCGAGTTCTTCACGAATGATTGCAGGGAATGCCAGCTCAACCACAGCATCATGGATTCCCAATGTCAACGACTGCTCCAGCAGGCCAACGTGAAACTGAACCGATCCCCGAAAGAACTCAGGATATACTTGAAAAAGCAATGCATCGCCAACGCCGTAGAAATCTCGAAGCGGAAGAGAGAAGCCGAAGAGAGGCCGAAGGGAAATCTACAAGGAAGATCGTCGAAACAGCCAAACCGCGAGATAGAGTCGATATTCCCCAGCCCCAAGACCGTGCCATTTGTGAGTCCATTTCTGCTCACATATTTTCACGTGGTTAGATCAGCATTTCCGTCCGTAGAACAAAGTGAGACGCATCCCAGCTTCAATAATTATTCGATAACTTCATGCAGAAAGGAGTCCAGACAGGTCTAAGTCGATACGATCGCACATGCCTGGTTCAACGGTTCAATTAACCAATTAACCAATGTCTGCATTCGTTAACGATACGGTGATCCCTAACGAACTTTAGACAGAAAAGAGCCGATGCAGCCATCCAGCAGAGAGGAGTGCAAATCTTCAACATAAAGATTCCCAAATAAATCCTTCAATTAAACGAATGGATCACTTCCAAATTCAACTGGTTTAAGATTATTGATCATTATCGAGTGGTATGCGAAACCTCTCTTTGGTATACTGTATGTGCTTCTTGCTCCTTGGAACCAACTTTCGCCCATTTTCATAAACCATGAACTTGGATTGCAAAAGCAACACATGATGTCCATCGAGCCTATCGACGCCCCCTCTCCCAATACTCCTTCGCTGGAATGTCTCCCATCGGTGCCAGGTGTTGCGAGTGCTGCTGATGCAGAATGAGGTTGCCACATCTTTCAACATTCTCTTTGATTCGCATCGCACAGCGATGTTGAAATACTTGTAATTTGACGAGGTGGACATCAACCCGATAGTTTGCATAACCGCTTTGGATTACATGCACTGTATATTTCTCTTCTTTGGCTCTATGCTTGGAAGAAGCAATAGTGCCCGATCTTCGTCACGAAAAAGCACTATTGGCATCAAATGTAACTCCTAGGTGGTTATGACCCGGCACGATTTCTGACTGTATTCAAGACTGTCATGTTCATCAGAAGTGCGGAAATATAATTATTTTCTTTGATTAGCAGTAGAGGGGAGTTCCATGAGCAAGCGGGTCCTCTAATCGTATTCGAGTACGGAGGCATCTAAAATAAATAGTGCCAGGCATTTTTGCCAGTCGACTGGCTATAACTTGCCAACTTGAGGCGTTTTGTCCTTGTCTCAACTAATTAATGATAGCAAATGTTGATTGTAACATATTCATATATAACATAGTTTATTTGCCCCACCCGGTGGGTGAGGCGAGAAGTTACAATTCTTCAGAAAGATGGCATAAATGCAAAACTCTATTTTAATGTAAACATATGTTGCTTATGTTTATGATATACGTTTTCGCTTTATTCTTCCATGAACCTGTAGATCAACGAAGAGCCAAAAACTAAGCCGATGTCACTGGCTCAGAAAATGAAGAACGACTGCAGGGACATTGATGGGTTCATCCGCGAATTGCCAAAGAAGAAAGTGATGGAAGACAGAAAAAATCAACTGGCCAAATACGAAGTCGGCGACGGAACGGGCAGCGGAGGAGGAAAGGTCCTCATGGTCGTCGGAGCAACTGGAGCAGGTGAGGTGCATCTCATTTCGACTTCATCTTCCATTGGACACGCGAATGCAGGAAAATAATAATAATTTCAGGGAAAAGTACCCTCATCAATGGAATCGTGAATTACGCATTCGACGTGGAGTGGGAAGACGATTTCCGTTTCAAGCTGATCGTGGACGAAGGACTTGGTCAGCTAAAGTCTCAATCCAAGAGTCAGACAAAGTGGATCACGGCATACGTTCTCAATAAACAACAGGGATTCAATCTGCCCTATACCTTGACGGTCATCGATACCCCTGGGTTTGGGGACACGGAAGGCATCAAAGCGGACGAAGCACTGAAGAATCAGATTCGCGAATTTTTCTCCCACGGTGGGAACATCGGCGTGGATCAACTCGACGGGATCTGCTTCGTCGTCCAGGCCGCCCTGGCCAGGCTCACGCCCACGCAGAAGTACATCTTCGACTCCATCTTGGCAGTTTTTGGGAACGATGTCGTGGAGAACATCTTCGTTCTCATCACGTTTGCAGACAGCCAGGCCCCGCCTGTCATTTGCGCCATCGACGATGCGGGCATTCCCTACAAGAAATCGTTCAAGTTCAACAATTCCGCTCTCTTTGTGAAACGGTGGATCGAACCCGCAAACGAGGAATTCGACAAGTTTTTCTGGAATATGGGTTTCACTAGCTTCAAAAATTTCTTCCAAACCTTCCAAACCACCAAACCCGTGAGCCTCACCCTGACGAAGGAAGTTCTGAAAGAACGGCAACGCTTGGAGGCTGCCATCCAAGGCATCCAACCGCAAATCACCGCAGGTAATTCGAAGTCCAGCCTCTCCGATTCCGAGTGGAATGACATGCAGTTCTTATATTTCTTTTTTCTTCCTTTCAGCATTGGGAAGGTTGGAGCAGCTGCGGCAAGAATATGCAGCATTGAAGCAGCACGAAGCAGAAATTATCGCCAACAAGGATTTCGAGTACAAGGTGGAGGTCTCGAAGCAGAAGAAAATACCACTGGAAGCGAATGAGTTCGTGACGAACTGTCTGATATGCCACTTCACTTGCCATTATCCCTGCTTCATACCCAAGGACGAAGAAAAGGATCAATGCAATGCGATGGACGAAACGGGCTCGTACTGTACGGTCTGTCCTAACTGCTGTCCACCGACGGAGCACGTGAATGCCGATTATCGCTTGGAATGGTACCAGGAAGAGGAATTCAAAACGTACGCTAACTTGCAGGCAAATTACGAGCAGGCTACTGGAAAGAAGATGAATGCCCAAGAGATCGTGAAGGAACTCATCAAGGACTTCAATAAAGAGAGGGTTCACGTTCTGGACCTCACCACAAAAGCGCACGAATGCCTGCAGAAACTCCAGAAAATAGCTTTGAAGCCCGATCCACTGGGGGTGACGGAATACATCGATCTCATGATCGAGGCGGAAAAACGGGATGCTGCACCCGGCTACCTCCAGCGGATCACTTACCTCGAAGACGCACGTCGCAAAGCCGAATTGGCCGAGAAGCTCAGGGGCGATTTCGATCCGTTTGAAACGTATATGAAGGAATTCGAGCAAGAAGGCTTGGATATATCTTGCTTCGATCCTGAAGACGCTGGAACTCAATCCGCGAGCCAGGGGAAAGGTTTTCTCAATAACCTGGCTAAAGGTATAAAGAATACCCTTGGCATCGGTGGCAAGAAGTAGATAATAGAAAATATGCAAAGTGTAAGTAGTGATCAACGTCACGATAAGATGATCAGTGATCACGTCCAGATGAAAAAAAGAAAAAAAATTGTCGGTATTATGATATTCAATGATAGCAGGAGGTGATAATTAGTATAATCAAAGGAGATCTCATATTAACGTTTCATGTATGATTGGATCAATTCATTTTGAATGACTGTTCCTTTTAATCTTCGAAGTGAAAAAGGAAAATAATGAGTTTTATGTACATCATTAAAATAAATCCGGTTAGTTTTAAGATGCCATACCCGTACTAGTCCTACCTATGAGGGTTCCGCCAGTAATTTAGCAATATGAATTTCACATTGTCTTTTGTATAAAGGTCGTACAAAGATACAAGGTCCTGAATGCCACGCTCAATGCTAGTTTACAAACGATTTCACGGTTTATTCCTTTCCACCTGAAGTAGGACACTATTGCGTCAGGTATTAAAACAATATAAGCATGAGCCTGAAGCGATGATTAATATATTCCTCAGGTGGCAAATTTGGATTCAAATAAGGATTTTAGAAATACGATGAAAGAATGATTCTTGACCTGGAACATGTGCTGGTCACGGCATGTGACGTTTATTTAAATTACACTTTATGATCTTTACTATTTGGAAATGGGAATGGACGTGTTCGAGGGTGAATAATATGTTCAATACGCGTATCAGTTCTTTCTTTTGAAATGTAAGCTCACTTGCTATGTCTTTGACTCTTGTCACAGCTACAGTATTACATAGTAAACTATGAAGTGAGAATGAAATAAATGCTTCATCAAAACGTAACACAAATGAAATTTTACTTTTCCGCAGTCCCGAATACCACAAATACCAATTGTATCCATCTGGTTTTCCAGTCATAAACATCTTAGTTCAAGAAACTCTAATCCCTACGCCATGCAAACTCCAGCAATTTAACAAATGACTGCTTCCCCCTCTCACATAATACTACATTTTCGTGACTCATACTAATGACATCCAGAGAAGCTGCAACGCATTTCATACCGTGGCTTGCATGGGACCCAATATGTTGCACTTCAGGGACACTTTTGACATCTACTTTCCTTCATAAGTGTAGTTGGGGCATTTTAATGATTTTTCCCAAAATGGATCAATCCTTTATTTCTTAACCCTTAAACGACATAGCTGGGTCAAATTTTACCCAGAGCCTATGGTATAACACGCAAAACCTCGAGGCTTGGTAGTTTAAGGGTTAACCTCTCCAATGAATGCCTCCAGAAGCAGAGTCTTGCATTTTCAGCTGAATTTCCAACGTGGATAGAATGAAAGCTTTTATTTTTTCAAATATTCTTTCTCGCATAGAGTCTTTCAAGCATAGGGAGTGAGGTGGGCGAGGATTCGTGGTTCAAAACAATACATATGCGAGAAAAAGAGCTAGTTTGAAGCTAAGGCAGATTAATTGTATCACGGCATTCGTACTACACAGTAGCAAGTAGATTCCGAAACTCCAGCAACATAATGGGAAGAGAGCTGGTGGTCCACCTTCTATAGTAAGGTGCAGGACAGTTACTTCAGGTCCCATTTGCTGTTACTGGCCCGACTGCAAATGATGACATATCCGACTTGTATGTTACTAATGCAGCTGTCATGAGAAATGATTAACATTGACCTATGCATTACAAGAGCCCCTCCTCCCACTTTCGCGAATGGAGAATAAAATAAAGACCTGATGGGTAAGGCATAAATGTAGTAAAAACTCCAGTTACAAAATGTAAATAGAGCTGATGGTTCATCTTCCATACCGGAGTGAAGGACACCTGCTGCAGGTTCCACTTTCCCCTACCGGCCCAACTGCAACCTAAAGACATACCCGACTTGCATGTTAATAACGGACCTTACACTAGACGTTGAAATTCCCGTCCTTACGGTCAATGTGAAAGAAGGATCAAGACGTAACCACCTAGAGATCGAAGCGTTCAATGGATGAGTAATGACACCTGCTCAAAGTGTGAGCGAACATATTTACTGTTAACTCCTGTAGTAGATTTTAATATTTCTGGAACGAGATCTCCTCATACAATATTTCTCTTACCATACAAAACCTCGACATTTGATGTTTTCCATAATCTGACATCATGAAACTTTTTTGCACTTCCTCCAACTAGCTATACGCAAATCGTATAATAGATAGAATGGTGAGAAATTAAATACCTTTGCAAATTGATCTGGGCGGATCTTTAATTGCATTTCCGGACCGCAGTGGAACACGAGTGCCATCTAGTCGAGGCTTTCTATGAAGCATCTGGATTACCCCGTGCATTTTATAAGGGGCGGTACCGCAAGCTAGGTTGTGGGAGGAGAGTTGATGGCTCGCCATTCGAACCAAGAGGAAGCCCATATACTCCAAGTCACGATTTCCTTACTTTTAAGGAAATACTTACCTTACTTTTCCTACTTTCTTCTGGGCTGGAACGGATCTCTCATATTCATTACTTGGAATGTCCTTTAAAGGCTCACCAGCTGATCTGGTTCTCCACCCGTCACATTATCGCCTCGGCCAGGAATCCGCCAGTGTAGTACTTTGGCTTCCGACCCAATACCTCCGTACCAATTGGGGGTCATTCGATATGAACTCAACCCGGCAGTGTACTCCAATATATCGGATTTCACGTTACGAATTCTCAGCGATCGCAATTTAAAAACCCAGTAAAGAAAAGGGTTGTCTCCGAAAAAATCTATGAACATCTTAATTTCCATCTTAGGAACCGTTCTTCTCACAAAGACGTGCATAGCTTTAAAGTAGGTCTTTAATAGGTGAACAATTGGCACCAAACGTCAATGGTGCTTGATACTTCAGCCTCATAGTTGAGTTAGAAAAGGTGAAATTAATGCAACTTTTGCATTAATTTTGCATTAAGTTGCACTCCTTTTTCTTATGCGTATATATACCAGGTATATATAAAGTTATCTGCTTGAGATTTTGTCCGCTATATCGCAATATGAATTAATCTAAAAATCGGATTTTTCTCACTTTTGGTCGAGTATTTCTCGATCTGGCATAGCAACTACAGTGACAAATAGAGAGCCAGAAGAAAGCTTGAGATCTGAGAATGGTAAAACTGGGGCAACCAAGTAAAAATGAATAGCCTCCAGTGAGAATCGAACTCACGACCCCTGGTTTACAAGACCAGTGCTCTAACCACTGAGCCATGGAGGCCCTATTTTTATCAAAATAAAAAAAATTGATATGACCTATTCATTTTCTCCATCGTGACTTCAGAACCAAGTAAGGACTAGTTGAAAATTCCCATGGGATCCAATCGGAAAATTGCCGCCTGTTACGGAAAGTCGTTGAGAAGATGGTGATATGTTGAAAAACTGCCAATAATCACCAGAAATCAGGTAAAGCTGGTAAGAATTTAAATGGGGAATATGTACGGGAAGTGTTAAGTCTAGCCGACTCAGCAGAAGCCTCAATTACCACTGAAGGATGAATTAGATTGTCATTCCGCATGACTACTGATGAAGAAGCGAGCGAGAGAGAACACCGCGAGGACCTCCTAATTCTCGGGATCGCCAGACCCCAAGCTCGTTGGGTTTGAGATGGTCTGGCATGCCTCCCGGATGACTCTGGAGAAGATTCTTCCAAATCGAAAGGATTCCATTCATTTTGCAGCCCCAAATGTCCGAGTTTGAAGAAGGGAACACCGTCATTAACAATTGAATTCACGCGCTTGAAGACTTCCTCGTGCGATTACTATTCCCCCCCCCCCTCAGAACTCCGTTTACTCCTTTCTATTTGAGAAACGTGAAGACGCTCTCATTTTTGGCAATGAGTTCAGAGCCGGATTTTGCGTTATCGTTTATTTGGACATGAAGGATCACATCGACCTCTTCGGCTGACATCGCAGGTACCACCAATCCCCCCATGACATACCCTGCCCCCAATACACCCTATCCTAGCTCTCGGGAATGTGGAAAATAGGACCAACCCTGAACGTGCGAGCTCTTGACGCTGATGTGAGTTTCGAAGGTGGTTCACGTATTGCGTCCTTTGTCCTCGCAACCCATTCGCTTTGCCCCTTCACTAAGTTCCTGTTGCTTCTTCGGCAGAAAAGCCGGAAAATGGTACAAGAAACCCATTTCTTTATTTACCTGGATTTGCAGCTTGCAGCTTGGAAATTGACCCAAGAAAAGTAGTCGGAAATTGAGTTTCACGGGTGCCGGATGGCGGATAGCAGCCCCTTTGCAGTCCAAAATATAACAAGTGCCATTCAGGTGAAAAGTTTATTGAACGTTTAATGTCAAACGCATAGGTGAAGATCTGCTGTCAGACCGGTATTTGCGATAGCTGGACTTTCGCGGGGCAGCGGGAGGGAGCGCAGAATTTGCTTCATGGAGATTCAGATTAATAGCGCATGTTTATGAAGAAATTATTATTTTCCGTACGTCTTTTGAGCCATTTGCTCACTTTTTTTCGAAGTGCGCATTCTTAAGACTGACGAAAAAACGTTCCATTTGGCGAGAAAACCCTTGGGTAAATATCATGGCAGTGTGCACTCTCAGAAGCCACGTGAAAAGATGCTAATTAACAGGAAGCCCCTTCGGTCCAGCTCAGGACCTAATGACTTTTCTTCCAATTGGAATTATTTCCCTCCATCCTCTGCATATTTCTCTCTAGACACTTATCGAGGGGAATCTCTTGAAACGAGAAAAAATTGTCATCTGTGTTGTTCTCTTACCCTGCTTAAAATGCCAATAATAGACATTTTCAGCACTGAATTTCACTCCGAGCCTGCGAAAGAACACCATCTTAAGCATCTTATCGCATCTTATCATCCAACTACATATTTTCAGATGTTGAGTGATAAGATTAATTCATCCCATGAAGCTGATAGAAAGCAACATCTACAAGTAATATTGCATCCTTGAAACAAGGGAAATCAAGAACCAAAGGGCAAAGCAAGAACTGTCTGGACTTACGCAGATAAAAGGTGTGAGGAAGGAAAGCTCCTCTTTCCCCCCCCCCCCCCCCCCCAGTCTGTATGGGAGGAAAGGGAAACCAAAGAGGGTTGGAGAGACCCCTCTCATATCTGCGCAGAAGTGCGTTTCGGGGGGTGGAACGTCTCGCACTTTCGTGTATGCTGTGTAAGTAGAAAGGGTAGCGACGCACGCCTTTGGCATGGGAAATCGGGCAAGTCCATGACATCACGAAATCCGAAACGTGTAGTTTTGTGAATTCGATGCCTGGTCATCTTATATTACTGATAGATAGGAGCGTCAATAGAATCCTTTTCCCGTTACCATTATTCCTAAATTTTTTCCCATTTCAATTCCTAACGATTCCGATTCATCCTCATTGCATTTTCCCTGTTCAGGTATCTCAGTCTAGAAGAGTTCTGATACGTACAAAGATCCCAATAGCCAATGGATGGATATAAGGGGTACTTTTAATTGATAATTTATTTCGCAATTGAGCATTTGTGAATACTCTGAACGAGTTTTTGAATCATAGATACATTTCCCTTGGAGATCTTCGACGACCGTTACTTTTTTGCATAACTTGAGAATAAGAATTTATCTCCGCTCATTATCTCCTGTGCTCTCTTCAACTTCCCACGAAGGATTTCTACCTCTAAGCAATGAGCATTCATGGTCATGCGGTAAAATTATTTTATGTCATTGTATCCATTCTCAAGAGATGAGGAGACTTGCTGGTCCTCCATTACTTGAAATTAATCGTCAGACAAACAAATGGCAAAAAAAATTACGTTAGACGCCGAACGTGAACGAGGGAGGTTGCGTTGGATCTTCGACCAGA